AGTATAGTGTAGTAGTATAGTAGTATAGTAGTATAGTAGTAGTAGTAAGTAGTATAGTAGTATAGTAGTATAGTAGTATAGTAGTATAGTAGTATAGTAGTATAGTAGTATAGTAGTATAGTAGTATAGTAGTATAGTAGTATAGTAGTATAGTAGTATAGTAGTATAGTAGTATAGTAGTATAGTAGTATAGTAGTATAGTACCGTGCCGATTGCATGTCGGAGCGACAGTCGGCCAGGATCGGCAAGTACACAGTTTCCGGTGCATCGTGATTGTCCGAGCCTTTGATGTCTCGCTGCAGTCACATGGGGGTAGGCCACATCCTCGGTTCAAACCTTTCGGAGACAAGGTGGAAAAACTACTGCAAATGTCCAACAACCGCGCATTCACAACTCGGGTTCCGCAGATATGTGTAAATATGCCGTATGCGCACAGATGTAGATAGCTACAAGCATGGCACATGTCACAAATGTGTGCACCATTGCTGTCACTCTGCAGGTGCTGGCTGTCAGTGCGAAACAAGTGCAGCCCAACAGTCCCGAGGTGTTAACAAGTTTATCAGCCTGTTGGTACGCAGTATGTAAATACTTTGTATTCTTCAACGATTGCTCTTTCGCTTGAGCTTGCCGGATTGCAAATTCTCGTGGCAATCCTCTTGGCTCCAAAGTGGGGTATACGACGTCTGACGTCTGAGCGAGCACCAGAGTCGTTGTGGAGGTGTTAGTTGCTTGCTCTGTTGGTATATGCCTCCTTGTGACAGCCTCGGTTTTCGTGTTGCGCAGGAGGAAACACTATGGCGCCTGTGATGCTGTCTCTTATCGTTGCCAGCACGTGGGCAACCCATGGCCTGCCGTGTAGAAGCTGCGTGTGCTTCTTCACGGTACAACTGTCTGTGGTTTTCTTGAGCCTGCCATCTCACACCCAAATGTTGAGGCACAAGGGCGGCATCGGCAAGGATGGGACCCTTCCTTGGAAGCTTCCAGAGGCACAACGGAGCGGCAGATCATCTTGGTAGTGACCGTAGGCGAGCCAGACACTCGCAAGAAGTGATTCTGCAGCCCAAGCCAAAAGCACAGAAAGTTGGAACCTCATGATGTTGCATCTTTTAGTTGTCAATCATCTCGCATTGCTGCAATCAGCAGTTTCTTGATGCAAAAGCTCAGTGAGAAACCAACGCGAAAGCAGGACATGGCGCATTTCAAGCGTGTTTCCACCTCAGAAGTGTCGATTCATGTGATGTTGAAAGAAGAAAATCACACCGTCTTTGCTGAGGTGACAACTGCTGTGTCCGTTGATGGCAAGCAGAATGCTGTCATCATGGGACGTCACGTTCTCAAAACATACTTTGCTGTATTTTCACTGTTTCAGCTTCGAGCGATTCAGCACGGGTGCAACCCGAGTCTAGAAGGCTCCTGCTGTAGCGTGGTTTGGAGGCAAGACATGGGAATCCATTCCGGAACGCTTTCGACCACTGCCCGGTCGCTTGAACATTGATCGGGCCTGAGCATAAAGAGTGCTCGGAAATGGTCATTCCGGTGTATTGATCAAGGTTCTTACATCGGCCAGGGAGTCGAACTATCCAGAGGTCGCTTGTCGATCGGTTCACGCTCAAGAGTTTGGACTGTAAATGATTGGGCATCTTGTTCGCAGGGTGTGCTTGTCGCCCGGTCGATTGCCGCTGCAGTGGAGACCCTGGAAGGTCGTGGCCATGGCGCAAGTCTGGGTCGGCGCAGCCTGTCGTCCAATTTTAAAGGCTGTCTCAGATGCCAGGTCGGAGCGATGTCGGCGAGGTTTTCGTCATCGGCGGGCAAGCCGCCTATCAGGAGGCTTGGCAGAGGTCTCGAGAGGTCCCACATGCGCGACACGTTGCCAGGCCATGGGGATGCCTTGCTGCATTCGCATTTACATGACCAGAGTGGCCAAGGCATCGATGCGTTTTCTGCTCCATGAGGCCTTTGCTTTTGCATGCTGTCAGGACTTTGAGTGCGATGCATTCTTCCCCATGCTGGATGAGAAGCACTTCCAGTTCCCTGGATTCATTAGCTACATTAGTTTGCCCTGGCAGCTCCTCCACGGGTGGCAACCGGACACAGGGTTGGTGTCAGCAGCATCTGCCTTGTCGTTTTCACCTAAGGATTGTCCATGTGAGTGCAACTCGGAGTAGTGGAGACATCCCCTTCGATTTCGTCATTTACGAAAGGTTGCCTTGCAAGGACATGTCAGCATCAGCTGCATTACAGACGACCATGCGGCCAAGACGTCACAGTACTTGTCAACTTACTCCAACCTTGACGAGCAGATGTGCTTTGTGATGTCGTTCTAGACAAACTCGGCCGTAGTCCTGCACTCCTTGCGACAGTGACGTGACAGAGCTATGGCCTGGTGCCTTCACTGATTTTCCACATCAGTAAAAACTGATCAAGTCAGAGTGATGCGGAGCCACAGTAAAAGGTATCCTCATGTGCAGGACGGCAGTGCCACCGGCTACCCTGCATCGGCTGCTATGGCCACGACCCCAAACATGACGTGCGACCCGTGATGTACTCTAGTGCCGAGCCACCTGATTCCAAGGTGCAGCAGCCTTCTTCGGCGCTTGCAGCAGCTGGTGGTACTCCCCTCACTGGCTTTGGTGTAGTTTTACTTCGGGATGAACAAATCAACATCTCAGTAGAGCAAGGTGCCGGGACCTATGCTCACGAGGAGTACCAATACCTCAAGGATTGGGCAACACTTCAAGGTTTCCATGGCAAGAGATGCCGTCTATGTTGAGCAGGCCATTCAGCAAATCATCGAAGAAGGAGTTCACATGGAGGACCGCACCGGAGTGTGCATCTCGGAGGAGCGTTGTTGCTGGTGGAAGCACACTCTGTGCTTGAACAAGGTCGGAACCCGCTCCATGTTTGGTCAGCAGATGCGGTTCAACCTGAGCAGCAGTCTTAACTTAGTAGACAGTACGCAGGACAGGCTTTGCACATTTTTTCGTTGATTGCAAGGAAACTCTTTCCCACTGTTGACGACGAAGCGGGTGTTTTGGCGAGGGGTCGTCGAAGAGCTGCTTTGGCACGAGCCCCAATGCCATGCAAGCAGACAAACACACTGAACATCTTCAGTGTTTGTGCATGTTAGACATGTGCCAAGAGGCCTTGCGAGTTGTGGATGTGGCCAGATGCAGCTTCAGGTTCATCAAAGGTGATACGAATGCCAATCACCTGACTGAGAAAGGTGTAAGGACACCTTCGCTTTAATGGAGCTGCTTTCGGGCGAGTTTCACCGCCGCATGTCACTACCAGGATTTGGGAGGCAAACGGTTCGCGAGAGTTTCTGGACAAGCGCGGCCTAAGCCACCGTGAGGACGGACCGTGGTTCCAGCTGTCCTGGTCAGCAAGTTATCACTTCATGTAAGTTGATCACTTTGTTGGTGTGAGGAGGGAGATCTTGGCCCGGTCTATGGCTTCCAGCATTCTGCCTCAGCTTTTGCCCGGACTTGTGCAGCTGCATAGTCCTATAGCTTCCTTTTCTGCACACCGGCATCTCGGCACAAAGGTGGCGCCATTTCGGTGCGAAGTATGTTGACATGCATTCGGACTACACTGGGCAGGTGCGATGAAGCCAGACCTTGGTCAGATTGTGCATCGCTCCTTACCATCGCAGGGGGTGGATCAATTGGCAGAGTGCATCCGCAAGATCAAAGAAGATCCATCAGATCCAGCCTTAGAGTCTTGTAAACCTCGATACAGCCCGCTCGCTTTCATTGGGGGTTCTGCAGGACCGTCGCATCCTGCTTTCTGCTTGGAACCCCGCAGATCTTCATTTGATGGCTCTGCCTCCGTGCCACATGAACGCCTGGCAGTCTTCTCTCCAATATTCATGAGGAATGAGCCATTTCATGTAATGCCAGGTTTTGCCAGTTTTATGTGGCAAACGGTGAGTTGTCATGGGCTCAGTCGGTGCAGACAGCATGGTGCCAAGAGTTTGGTTCCCCTCAAGCTGTTGAGGTCATGCTTAATGTACCAGCGATCCTGTGACATGGGCCTGGGGGTGCTGCTCTTGTGCATCATTATGACAAAAGCCTCTACTGGCATGCAACATGGATTGAGACGATAGCAGAAGCCCGACACTTTGCAAGGTGCCCTTTAACATCGCCTCCTACTCTTTGCTGACCTGCATGGTTGCTCAGGCACCGTCGCTACATCGAACGTTTCGATTTTTGCCATAGTTCCAATAGCCAAGGTCTGTGGTCTGAAGCCTGGCGAGTTTGCCGTTGACTCAGGAACGCAGCTCTTGCAGGCTCTGTGAGTCTCGGTCCGGCAAGGTTCACACCCTCGGCAACACTCATGTGTACCAGAACCATGTTGAGCCTCTCAAGACGTGCGCTCACAGATTCTTTGTTGGCTTTCTGCGAGCAGCCCTGTGCATGACTCCTTTCTCTATCGACTTTATCAATTCAAGCAGGCAGCTTGAACGTACTCCTCGGCCTTTCCCTGTCCTGAAGATCAATCCAGAGGTCCGTTCAAGGAAGTTTCGGTTTGACACGCTACCCGGGGACGCTGTGTCTCAGGTCAAAGACATCGATGGCTTTTCGTCGTCCGACTTCCAACTTGTTGGCTACAACCCACATGGTTTGGCTCCGAGACATGGGAGGAGTTTGGGTCCGCGGCTTTCTTTGGTGAGTGCGCAGTTTCCAAGGCAAAATTGCCATGGAGATGGCCGTGTGAGGAAGCTTTGCTGGGTCTCCCCACGACCCTGGGAGCACGTTTGGGGCACTGTTTCAGTGAAAGGGAAAAGCTGATGGCCAGTGCAGTTTCACTGTCATGCCGAAACATCGTCAATGCGGTGTCCGCGCAGGACATGGGGCCTGACCTCACGTAACCTGTTTCATCTCCCACCATTTGCATAGAAAGCTTGATTTCGTGTTGGCTGTTCTTCGTTTTCACGTGTAAGTGAGTCAGGATACAGGATACGATGGTCAGGTGTTCCACGCAACGACTTCGAGAAGGAGATGCGGTGCGTGGAAAGTCGCAGTCCTTGGGGTGGTGTTTTTCACGCACAGGCAAAGGCAGGCTGCATGTGTCGAGTGTCCGCCGGTGTCTACAGCTTTGCAGCAATGCCTGGAAGTTTGGCCTGCCATGGAGGCAGCAGGTTTTTCAAGCTTGGCTGATCCATCTGACGATGTTGCGACGAATTGCGTTGCAGTTCACTGTGGTGACGGCGGCCAACCTCCCGCCAAAGCCGGTGCTCGCCGTTCACACTGGCAACGTGCGCAGGCAAATCAAGTTGGAGGCGGGAAGCGTTTCGAGCCTTCCTTGGGTATGAGTTTTGTTTGTAACATGTGCAAGCTGAGGAGCTGCAGCAGGAGATTAGCATTCTGTTGTGAAGTGCAGCACGTTCCAAGATACTGCTCGTGGTAGGAGCTGCGGATTTGGCGGAGGTTTGCTGTGAGTATTGTGTGCATTGAGGGAACCTTACTGATTCCTCTTGTGCCCTGTTAGCGGCCCATCTCCCTCTGTGCATACTCCCCAGATCCAACTGAAGTTTTGACCCACCGCGTCGGAGTGTTGCAGCAAAGTCCTCCACGGCCATAGACCTTTGAAAGGCCGGCCTGTGAAAGGTTGAACAGGAAACGCCTCATCATCGGTCCGTGCAGTGTCAGCTAGAAGTCACTAGATTGAACGAGCTCTTCTGCAGCCGCTCGGCCATGACGAAGAGATGTGCACGCATTCGGGGATGGCATGATTAAACGTTGCCAGAGTTGCTCTCTTGTCCTCTTGTTGCTGGAGAAGGGTGCGATAGTCAGGTCATACCGTTGCATGGCGCAACATTCATTTCGTGTTTTTGCCGTTCTGCAAATTTGGCATGTAGGGTGTGTTCCGAAAGAAAGGGCAGGTAAGGGTGCTCTGGCATGCTTTTGCTCAGGTTCATCATGGGGCTCTCATGGCCAGCATCTGCAGCGCAGCCGTTGTCTACTTTCCAGACTGGTTATTTTGCCGTCCTGCGGTGCTACCAAAGAGTCGTAATCGTTGTCGTGAAATGTCGTGTGGCTCTAGACGACTTAGTGCTCACAACCAGGGTGCACGATCTAGGTTACCGAAAACTCCTGCTTGACCATCTCCAGTGCACCCCGAGATATGACCCATGGCACGTCTTCGCAGGTGAACCACCCCTTCGTGCTGCCGGACCCTGGTTCGAAGCCAGCCCATGTAGAGGCCCTGCAGTCTCGGAAGGAATGTGTACTGCGAGAAGGACATAATTTCGTGAATTTGCTCGTGTCTTGTTGCTTGTACCTAGCTTGGCTCAAATTGGCAGGGTTGTAAGTTGTAACTGTGCATCAGGCATGCTTCCACCCAACAGCTCAGCAAGTGTCAGCAGCGGCAACCCTAACAAAGTACTCAAGTGCAGTACTGATGACGAGCGTAAGAGAACGAAAACCTAGCAGAACTTGATCCACATGTGCAGCCAAACGAGTAGCATTTTTGTCGTTCTCCCTGACCCTGTCGCACCGTAATTGTGCCATCACTCAGCCAGCGCCGGGTCCTGAACGTGTGCAGAGGTGCAGCGTGCGTGTCTTGACTCGTTCGAGCCACGTGTTGCAGAAGAATTTCTCAAGGCAGTTGACATGCGTGCCGATGATTCCAAAAGCAACTTGAAGTCCCTGCCGGAGGCCACTAGAGATTGCATACGACATAGGATGCTGCGGGTAGTTCCCCCGTCCATGTGTAGTGCTTCGTGAGCGACAGGCAATTCTGGAGGCTGGATCGAAGGCCGTGGAATATTGCTAAGATGCTACAACCACAAACCATGGTTGCTTCACGTGCCTCAGGATGGGAATGAAATCTCAGATATTTCTCCTGTGCGAAAAGGACTCGGCTCAGCTCGAGACTCGTATTATGTATGTGACAATGCTTCTCGGAATGCACAATTCAGAAACTCACACTGTCGGCAGGAGCGACATCTTCGTGGTCCCAGAAGCTAGATGAATTCTTTAAGGCCCGGCAGAAGATATCGATGGGCTGGAGAACGACTGTTTTGTCTCGGCACCTCCTTTCTTCTTGTTTGTCGGCTTTGCTGTTGTCCATTGTCCACACAAGCGGGCCAGCTGTAAGCGACCGCCATGACGGAATCTTTGACACGCTTTCGAACACGTTTTCGTCTAGTGCTATCCAGGTTGTAATTCTCCGTGAGATCAATCATGTTGAGGGTTTATGACCTCGGGTTAGGTCGACAGAGTCGGCAAGGATCTGTGTAGGTGGGGCAGGACTCAGGGCATGTCACAGCTCCATCCTGCCATGAGGTGGCGAGAGTCACGACATACAATCCCCAACGAGTTTCCATAATTGTCGAGGGAAGTGACAGTAGTGCTGCTCTGCAGCTCCCCAGTCTCGACAGAGACTATACACGTGAGATGAGATATTTAGTTTGGCCGCTGTTGTTTCAGCGTGAGAGAGATTTGTAGCTTTTCTTAATTCGACTTGCAGTCTGTTCATTCTCACACCCGTGGCCCATCGTAGCCCCGAGTTTTTTTTCTCGTCCAGTGTGCGAGCCGTCGTTGTGTTCCAGTTCCGGTCGTACGGCCAAGGGCCGTTGAGCAGCTCGCACTATCGGCAGTGTAGTGAATGAATGCAGGGATGCAGAGAAGCTTGAACCGAAGGCACCTGCCTCTCCATACAAGATCGCGCACGCACACCGATACATTTCGGTTACAGGCCGCGATTCCCAATCAGTAGTGTTAACACTCGACCAGAATCCATTGAACACATGCCGCCTCCTGTTTTGAATTTGTGGAGGTTTTGGCAGCATCCCCCACTCACGTCCCTTGCTCGGGCCTGACGCTGCCAGGTTACAGAAAAGGGCTCGACTTTACAGACAGAGGCGCGCATGGCATCAAAATGTCTGTGACCCCCAATCAAGCTGGAACCGCATCCGGTCAGATTCGGGCTGGCTTCATCAATTGGATGACTATGTGCCCTGATCCTGGGTCCACTCTGTGAAAGGGTCGACTTGCAAAATCCAAAATATGGGACTTGCAGCTGCGAGGTTACATTCTTGTGGTTAACCCTGTCATCCTCGGAAGCGCAGATCCAGACAGCCATGTCTCTACGGACCGGATGGCCGTGATTCTTGGAGTCTTGCTTGATGCAGCCAGAGATCTATGCTTGCAAGGAGACCATAATGACTGCAACAGCTGTCTCATCGGCAATCGGCTGCCTTGTAGTTGCCCTTTCTAGCCCTTCACTCAGCATCAAGTCTTCATCTAGTCTTGGCAGACCTTGGCGGCGATTTCTTGAGGCGACGCGCCGCTGGGACTGATGCCTGGCATGGGTCTGAACGCGTGCGCCGTGCTTCGGGTTGTCGGGACACAAGGCACCAGCTGCATGCTATCTGCAACTTTGAGGTACTTCTCTTTTGGAATCTGCCGGTCCTTCCATGTGACTTTTGGACAGGACTGCAGAAGCTCCAATGCTTCAGATTTGTGATGAAAGGGGCCCGGTGTCGTCTTGACAGGCGCTGAGCTGCTGTTTCGTCAGTGGCGCTGCGCTGCTGCCACGCGTCAAAGCATTTTAGAGAATGTTGGCAAGTTTGAAGCATTCTTCTGCGGCCAATGTCATACCAATCGCATCCATCATGCAACTTGCTTTTGCGAGGTTGTTGGCCGTTCTTGGGGTTTGCCAATGGATCGTCACCACAGCCACCGACTCATGGTTCTCAGCTTCGACGGAAGGCTGCGCTTGGCTTACTGAAGGTTCTGTCAGAGCACTTGAAGAAAGCAATCACTGTGGCCATCGGCGTGTTCCAGGCCCGGGAAAATCGTGGTCGCACGAAGAACCGCTTGCGTTGGAAGTGTTCATGCGCGCGCGATGCAAGGCTTTGATTGGCTTCCAAGTGATGGGTTTGGTTGTGGCATCGCCGAATACTTTGGTGACGTTTCTTATCGGAATCAGATGGGCAGTACTTCTGCATTGTCACAAAATGCAACCGAGACTTTACAAACTGAGGCTTGGTGACGTAGGATGGTTGTGTGCTAAGTTGTCAGATGGCCAGATGCATAGCTTCGTGCAGCGTGTTTCAGCGAGCCGCACAAGGTCAAACAAGCAGCTTTACCTGGCCCTCATGGGGCCTGGGTCCTGGCAGATCCAGCTGGCAGTGCGCTGCGATTTCAGTTTGCCTGTAGGTTTTGTTTGATCTCCGCGATGCTGGTCAGCAGATTGCATGGGGCTCTTCTTGTAGGCGCTCTGGGCTTTCAATGTTTTGGCGCGTGAGCGAGCGAGTGAGCTGCCAGGCATTTGTCTCATGTCCGTTTGTGCATGGAGCACCGGGTGGCTGCCTTGTCAGTAGTGCCGTGACCGTTCTTTTCGTCGTAGAGCACTTCGCTGACTGCTCACTTGAGGCTCTCAGATGCGCCGCTAGGTGTTTTCAGTCTCCCCAGGTGGGAACACTTGCAGTTGTGCAGTGGGCTGAATATATGCCATCGGACAGGTATGATGCAGGCTTTTTGCTGGACTTCTCCTGCTGGGATCCAGGCCCAAAGAGGGGCCTTTGTCGAAGCGTGGCGCGTGCAGCGTGGCGCGTGCAGCAGGGAGCGGCAAGCTCCATGCCATGATCCTGGGCAGTATGGCCGGGAGCCCTCGTCGAAGCATCGCAATGCGAAGCGCGGTCTTCTTTGTCGTTTAACTTCGTGTGTTGTTAGGTGCTCTTGTTCGTGGCTCTGTTCGACTTGGCCGGCGTCCAGTCCGCGCCTTTAAAGCTACCACATTCGTGCTTTGCACCTCTTGTTGAAAGCGAACGGTGGTCTTGCTCTGCTTGCCGAATTGAATTGAGGTATGGCTTGATGGGAATCGCGGGCCTGCTACAAGATGGGCATGTGCCGAGGACACAGTCCCTCTTTACCAGGCGCCAGAGGCACCTTGATGTCTTTTGCCAGGAGTCAATGCATTTTCTCTAGTGCTGCCATCGCCACAATGACCGGAGCCAAGATTCGCTGCCGTGTTTTGTTGGCTTCTTGCTCGATCTTGAGGTCCGGAGCGGTCATTGGCACCAGCCCCGTCATTATCGCCAACGAGCTTCTTGGTTGCATCTTGGAGCACAGATGGTGCGGGCTGTTCAGTCGCCTGCAGCTCAATGTCACTCGCTGGTTGGTGCTCCCTTCTGCATCCCTTCACCAAGCCTTTTGCTTACACATCTGAGCTTCTGGTGGTGAGTTTGGCTTTCCAGTTTGGGTTAGTTCCGCTGTGCTCGTTCCCGCGGCTTATGTTTTCACACTTCCGCCGTGGTGCTGCTGACGGTCTTAGCACAGTCGTCATGCTGACTCTCACTATCACTACAGCAGTGCAATTTCTAAAACGAGTAGTGTTTGCGTGAAGGCCGCACCCATTGCGTGAAAAGCTAATTCTCTGCACAACACATGCACAGGTTGTCAAGCAGTGATACGTTTTCCTTTAGGAGGTGTGGAAGTATGCGAAGCACCTGTGAGTAGAGGTGCGGCTTACACGCCACGTGCGTGTGTTCAGGGCGGAAGGGACTGAACGCAGCTGGTGCTGCACCTCTAACTCTGAATGAGTTGATGAGCACCGGACAAACCCTGAAGCATCGACAGCATCTTGGGGTGTGAGTCTTGGGGACATGCTGAAGCCTTTACAGCTTCTCATGCCGATGCCCAGGAGCAGCGCTGGGATTGTTGAGGCTCCGGGCCGTGTTCTGGTGCGAGCGGAGCAATGCACAGATCCTTGCGCCAGGGTGCGAAGACCGGCCTTTCTGCCCTGGTGATCTCTGGGCTTTTTCTCGTGTCTGCGTCTGACTCAGGTTTGTGCAAGCACAGCGGCTGTCCAGGTATGAATTGGTCTGAGTGTGCTGCTCTGCCAAGGCATTTTTGACTCCTTTGTTGAGCTCCATACCTCGAGTCGCGACTTCTGTCCCTCTGGTGAGCTGGCTGCCGTGTCATCCGAAGTTGTCTCAATGCCGACAGCGCAGGTTCTGATTGGGGCCTTCATGATGGCTCCATGCAGAGGCATCTGTCTGGCAGCCGAAGGTCGACAAGGTACCTGATAAGCCGCAACGCCGCAAGGTATTGATTGGGACAATCTTCGGGCAGCCATCCCTTCCTTCCTGACCATCACGGCTCCATCCTGAATGCCTCCGGATCAGAAGCGTGTGCCGGAGAGTCGAACAGCTCGGGGAGGTTGTGCCTTTCACGTATTCGATCCACAATGGAATCATCGCAGGCAGCTTCGGCTCTTTGTGGTTTGTGTGCGAGCCATTGCGAAGCGTAGCTGAGCATCTTGTTCTGCGAGGAATCTTAATGGATGCCTTCCTAATGGTCTCTGCAAAGAAGGCCCGTCTTGATGTTGGAAGTCACGAAGTTGTAGAACATGTGCATAATCATGCATACATGCACTCCACTTCAGGAGAACAGTGCATTGAATCTCGCGAGGACCAGCCTCCCGAATTGACCGCCGATCCACATCTGGCCCAGCCACTGCCGGAACCCGACGACATTTGTCGACCAGTGCATTCCGTTATGCATTCTGCTGTCGCTGAGGATTCCTCAATCGGGCTCAAGAGTCCAGTCTCCCGTGCTCGAGAGGCCGCCCCAATTTATGGACCAAAACTGACCATGATTTGACCGCACTTGACCCTTTGCGTGCCAGGGTCTTCAGCACACCCCATGCCAGCATGGCTTTTGCGCCGGAGAAGGCCTTTCGGAGTTGATAGAAGTGTGGTCGCACCCGAAATTCTGGAAGTAGTGTGCTCTGCAAGCTCATCTTATGGCCTGTCAGGTCAGCGATCAGGCCCGAGCCCAAGCGTCAGGATCTGCACTCTTGAGCTCAGAGCAGCTTCTCGACACTCCAGCGAAGGTAGAGCAAGCTCAGCACCTCTTGGAGCAATTGCGGCGGACGAGGGGCTTGGGCCACTTCCTTGCATTTGGCAGTTTGTTTCCGAAGAGCCTCTCCCGCACGTTGCGGAAGAGCCAGGTCACGAGCCAGACCAGGCTTTGTAGTTTGCTTTCTGCACGCTGTGCGCAGTTCGTTTTTTGCTTTGACTGGCAGGGCGGTGGTATCGAAAGCGGGGAGGATCGTCTGCTCTCGGCTTTGGAGGCTGCGATGCTAAAAAAACGTAGTGTGACGTAGTGTGCAGAGCCATGATGAATGCTTTCCAGGCGTATGTGCAGTCCCATACTATGGTTGCGACCGGTCTGCATTTGTGAGCGCTCCAGCTCTCACTTCTTTCAGTCGGCTCTTGCGGATATTTATCCTATATGCTGTCAAGCTGAAACACGCAGATCGTATAGTGCAGACTCTAGGACTCCGGGCAGACTTCGCCCTCTTCTAGTCAGATTTGCTTCAGCTTGCCGGCGTTTATTTGTGGGTTTCACGCTCTCTACGAGACTTGCGTGACCCTAAAAGGGATCAGTGCATGCTCTTTAGGCCTTGTGAGATGTTTGTCCAGCAAAGTTGGTGCGGCCTTCTGCCATGATGTCAAAGATTGTATAGCCATGCAGGATATGTCGACAGGGGAAATGGAGGAAACGGAAGATGCAGTCAAGGCCGAGAATTTGACGCCAACTGGCTGAGGACAGTGCGGCACTTCGTCCAGTGTGGGCTTCTTTCGACCGTGCTGTCAGTGTATGAGCCAGATATTTCCCATTTCTTGGGCCTGTACCCAGCCGAAGCTTCAGTCAATGACAGCAGTGGTTCAGCCGCATGATCCTAAAGGGTCTTGGGAGGCAAAGCCCTCCGCTCTCGTGTCGCCATTTGCAGCCTAGGAGCCGTGGAGGGCTTGCCACCATTTAATCATCTCTTGATTCGACTAGTCCGCCAAATGCCTGAAAAAGAGAGATGGGTTCTGGGATTCTTCAAGCATGTGAAAAGACGCTGGCCCCTGATTCCTGCAGGTTTCCATTTACCAGCAGCTTGCAAGTCAGCTGCTGCCAGAGGATGGCCATTCTGAGGCAGGTGTGGCTGTTTTCAGGAGCAGGTTCCATTCTCGGAAGAGGCGGCTGCAGCTGCAGTAGTTTTCATATCATATTTACTGTGAATTCAATTCTAGGGCCATCAAGACGTTGCACGGACAGTCCGGAATGGGCGGACAATTGTCGGAATCGAGCGGCCTGATGTTTGTGCAAGTAGCGGGTGGAGTGCTCTGAAACGCCTGCCGGCCAGACAGCATGTACGATTCCCGTTCGAAGACCGGACGGGACTCCGACTCATGCCAGACTCCTGGGACTTTCTCTAAGATGAGCACATGCATTGATGCTTTGATGATGCTTTGCGGCTTTGACTATCAGAGGTCAAACTTCAGGTACAGAGAGAAGAATGGCGCAAGGCTCGCTTGTGCACCGTGGGCCAGGAGTGCATTCAGAATGGCATTGCGTGCTGTATCAACGTGCTGCCGGTTCCTATTTGAGAGTTTGTGAAGTTCGGGGGCACAGGCCAAAGCCAAAGATTCGCAGTGTGCGCCTCAAGGCTCCAGGCATTCGAGTCCGTCCGGTGTTGCCTTCTGAGCCGCAAGGTGTGTCCAGGACTAGCTGCAAGCCGCTTCACACTTCATGCAAGCTTGATTTCCTCACTCGAAAATTGATCTGTGCGGACCTTTCGGGTAAAGGACTATCTGGAGACTCACAAAGTGCAGCAGCGCATTCAGAATCTGATACAGGATCCGACTCGGGTGGGCTTGGGTTGCCATCGCATGTTTATTTAATGGATTGCTTGCTGTTTGCCATGTGTTCAGCTACAGTGCAGTAGCTAATTGTCCGACAGCGGAAGTACTTGGCAGGATGTGTTGCGAGAAGCTCCAGATGATCCGTACCAGTGCCCCGCAGTGAAGGGTTCCGCTCCGTTCACGACTTGTGTTTTGTCGTTACACAGCCCATGATCCGGCCTGTGATCCTGTCGTACTGTACACCTGCAGTGAAGTTGGCCATGCGGCAGGTTCATGCTACAACAGCTCCGGCAAGCACAGGCTTGGCAACTGAGAAGTGATTGAAAGCAGTGCAAGAACTTACGTCAGACATCGATCTTGAGCACGACCGTGCACTGCCCCGGAGCAGCGACCAATCTGCAGTGTAGTTGATTTGCGACACACAAGACACCACTCGCAGTTAAGAAGCGTTTGCGTTTTTGCCAGGCAACGACATCAAGGCCTAGCTTCAGGTCCAAGGACGGCATTTGCGCAGCTTGTAGGGCTTGAGAAACGGATCACCTTGAAACGGCAGGAGTCCTTGGTGCCACACCCTCCTGACAAGCCAAAGCCGCCAGGACTGGATATTCAATGGCAGGGCCTAAATCCATGAGCATCCGTCAGTGTCCACTTGTCCACGTTCACTTGCACTCAAGTTCGATTCCTCGGGCCAATACTTACGATACTATGTCGTCTGGAAGCGGGACAGCTTTCGTGTTTAAACTGCTTGTGTCAGGCTCACAACCGCACAGCCGACCACAGACACTCCGCAAGTGACAGGACGTCCCGGAAGCACCAGCAAAGTCGTCTGCTGATGGAAACCCCACAGGCGTTCGGAACTTTGGATCGTGGTGCACAAAGCCAAACTCCAGGCTGCGAATCGAGAAGTCTAAGCTCCAAGCCGGTCCAAGCCCTTTTCTCAAAAACCGAGCCTTCGAGCAGTCCGACTTCCTGATTGTTTGAACCGGTCAAACGTTGAGACCTACACAATGCCCCAATACGACCCCTCCAATCGCTGTGGCGTACAGCCCAACTCACTTCAAGAACTGTCGGAAGGATCCAGGCCAGCACCTGCAGCAGGCGCCAAGCCACGGCTGCCAAGCACGACCTTTGATTAAAGCTGTCTGCAGGCCGCATGCTGACCACACCAAAGGTCCGCCCAAGTGGAAGTCGGTGACGGAGAGGAATGCACGTGTCTTATGCAGGTCGAGGTCGACAGGTCGGCCCGCTGCTGAGAATGCCAAGGGAGAGAGGTCAGAATGAGAGGCCGGCACCTGCTCTGTTGAAAGCTCCGAGGCTTGGAGACCGAGCATGCACATTATCCGCTCAGGCAAATCACACATGCGCCGCGCATGCGCCGCACATGCGCCACGCATCCCATGGCACGACGTGTCATGACGTCAGTTCTGGAAAGTCCGCGATGCCGGGAGATCGGCCTGGAGTCTATTCTCCATGGTGTCTGCACGGCTCTGAGCAGTGTAGCCAGTGTAACCATCATAGGCCATAGGAATCGAAATCCGAAATCCCATATGCCCTCAGGTGCCAAAGCATCTCGTGGGTCTTGCCCGGCATGATTTCTGCAGCTTCACATACAGTAGTCCGGAGTTGGTTTCGGGCACTGTCCTGTCTCTGTGCCGGAGTGCCTTTCATCACACATTGGACCTTTGCGCAGAAACAACGGTTTAGGGCACAGTAGGAATTTCATGTTAGCAGCACCGGCAGGATAGGCCAATCCCATTCGTCTTCCTGTCTGAGGTCAAGTATGGACATGATAATTCAAAAGGTCGCGTAAAGCGGTAGCTAGTCATAGAAAGTTGCTCGAGTGATCTCGAATGTGATAGGATGAGCACACCTTGAAGCTGTGTCGGGGAGCAGCGGATTTGCCAGCTCTGTCTGCAGTCCCTTGCTGGGATCAGGATGTCGAGGTGTATCATGGAGAGGGCTTGTACCACGGTGGCCAGTGAGGCAGCGAGTTGACATCACGTTTTGACTTCAGCGTTCGGGAAACACCCAGCCTCGAAGGCTTCTGGTGTCAGCGAGCTTAGAGCCATCGCCCCTCGGCCTTGGCATCAGGATCATCAGACCTTGGACTGGGGGCAATTCCCGTGGCCGAGGCTGGCGGTATCGTGAGGGCTAACCTCGCGACAGCGCAGCACATGGTCAAGCTGCAGGACAGTCGCCGTTGTTTCGGGTGATGCTGATTGCTGATTGCTGCAATTCTTAGAGCTCATCCCGCAGAAAACCGGGGTCCTCACCAAGTGGGCCATCCGTGCCTTGGATTCAAATTGTGAGACTAGGGAATCCATGCACGGAGATGATTGTAAAGGTGACAACTTCCGAAGACTTTGTGTCAGATCCCATAGAGTGTGCCCAGCTGGAACCCCAAAATTCTAATTCCGCTCACATTTTAAAAAGCTCTCAGAGTGAATAGGAAAGAGGGTGGCTTCCACCCTAGAGTTTGAAGGAAATGGCACATTGACGGGTTCTGTTTTCCGGCAGGCATTCATATGAGATTCTCAATGAATGCTGAGAGCGGCCTGTAGTCAGCATAAAGCATGGAACAGCTGATGCCAAACCTTTTGGGTACGATGTCTGGAGTACGGATTCTGCCGAAACGGAGGTTTTGCATAATCTCAAGCATCGACCCAAGCCATACTCAAGAAGGTAAAGGTTGGAGGCCAACACTGGGAAGAGCCCAAGCTTCTGGTCTCATTGTGAAAAGAGCAGATATTCGGAAAGAGCAAGTATTTTCCAGTCGGAACAGTCTCCCTGACGAGGCTGCGTCCTGGTCAGCGCCATCCAGAGACTAGGCTCCTGCTATTTGGTCTGCCTGTCACATGTTTCTAGTTGACTTGCATCGTTTTGCTTCGCAGCTGCTCACGTGCCCGCGATAGCTTTTCAATCATGAGAAACTCTTTAGCGGACGTGGCGTTGGCTTCGACGCGTGGGCGCCGCCCAGGAGCCGGCCTTAGTGTGCACCGGGGTGCGTCAATCGTGGAAAGCGGCAGGGACCCAGGGGCCCAGGGGCCCAGGGCTCAGATTTCGAGGAGATGGCGACTGGATCCACATCGCGCAAGGCTGGAAAAGCTTTGCCTGTGCCTGCGTGAGACCTGAGACCCCAGGCAAAGAAACTCGCTTTGTTCGAAGCCATCGACAAAGACGGAGATGGCTATCTCAACCAGGCACCACCCCAATTCGGACGTGTTCGTCATTGGCATGAAGGCAGTGTTAAGAAGCATGGTATGTCTCAAGCACAGGTTGCCTGCGGCAAGTTTTGTTGATTCCATTGCCCGACATGTTACAGTAGCTGTCCTACGTTTTTGCATGGTATCTGCTGCATCGATGGGCAGACTACGTGACGCTTGAAAGAAGTGCTCAGGGCGAGATGATGCAGCTGGCCAAGCTAGTGGGGTTCGATGGAGACACGGAGGAGTGGAAGAAGGACTGTCAGCCGAGCAGAGAGCGACCAAATCCCGAACGCCATTTTCCGGACTCTCAGACCAGTTGCGAGGAGTATCACGCTCTTTGCACAGAAGTCAAGGCAACCTGGCTTCTGAGCTACCTTATGTTGGCCTTGTGCCCAGCCGCGGGAAGCTTAGTGCAGCTTGACATCAAAGGCCTCTGAATCGGAGGGGGTGCCCAAGGCTCGTTCTTCGCGTGAGGTAATAAGGACGCCGTGCACAGCTCTGTATTGATGGTAGGGGCTGTAGACGTTGTCATGCAAGGCTGTTGTCCTGAAAATGCTGGATGACACGTCTGACACGGGCTGCTTCTGCACGGATGAGGACACGATGTGTAAGCAGGTGCAATGAATATTGACGCTTTTATTTGAGCAAGACTTTCTTAGGCCCGTCGGGTGCTGGAGCTGGCTAAAGATGTGCGGAAACTGTCCTCGGACAGACTGTGCAAAACTAGCCGCGACTGCACTTATTTTGCGACAATGATAGTGTTTCTTATGAAAGGAGTCGTCATCCACCATATGTCAGACGTTTATGCGCCGCTGGTTGTCGCCGTCGGGGGTTCTGTGGTTTCATGCTGGATCCCTCACCCCGCTTATTTGCTCGCAAATTTCAATTTCGGGTTGGCGGCAATACTCAGAAATCGAAGCATCAAGAGTCTGAGGCTTCCTACAAGTAGAACATTTTGCGACCTCGACGAGACTCGTGATCTCTTGACGCCGCCGACGAAATGTTTTTTTCAAGCTTCGTACAGTGGTGCACTTGGGCAAACACTGTCCTGACTGGAGCGCTGAATTACGATCGCTGCCCACATGGCATGTAAGCTGCTTGGATTTTCCATGTGCGTGTGATCGCGCGTGACCTCTGCGTAGGATCCCGAATGCCAAGTCCCAGATTAACTCTGGTTGCTGCGATTTTCAGGAACTCCAGCTCCTGTTGTCAGCGCAGCCCCGCCCCGGGACCAAGCGGCAGAAGGAAGACATAGGCAGGGCAAAACAGAGCCGGAAGCAGAGTTGTAAGCAGTGTCGATGAAGCATTCTTGGCTCTGCTGCGTGAGCTAACATGCGCTGACCATGCTCACCGTTGGCCTTCCGACTCTGAATGAATTGCCAGGTAATGACGCCAAGGTTCGATTTTCCGGCGCATCTTCCGATATCGCCGAGGCATGCCAGAACCGAGCGCTCAAAATGATGTGATACGCCGGTGTTCGAAGGACACGCTGCGGAAGTTCTTCGGAAGAGCCGGCGAGGTAGCGGCGGCAGTCAAGCCTGCGTTACAGTGTAGACACTGTTTGCGCGATGAAAGTCGGAGGTGCTTGCCCTCAACCTCTTCAAACTCAAGGACGTTCCGCAACCTTCGATTTTTCTATCCGTCTCTGCCCACGGCCCCCCACACACGGCTTAGGGGGATGATTTGCTTTTGGTGACAGACTTGGAGATGACGAGTTTCTCTCAAACTTTGCTCAAACGGTTTCTTATTGGACGCTGTCCGCTCTGTTGAAGGGAGAGCTGCCCCTGTTTTGCATTCTTAGCACCTCTCTCGAAATTCCTGTCAAGTCGTCGTTTTCCCGTCGTGAAGGACGGGCAATCACGAGGTATGGGAATGGTCACATACAAGAACGCCAAGCAGGCAGCCAGTCTTGGCCACCACCGGACGCAAGTTGCAACTCGATTGCATAGGCGAAGCAAGCTTTACTCCAGCTGAACAACAACAAGGCTGGGTGAACACTTCCTCGAAAGCATGCCAGGCAACTTTCCTTGCTATCGTTGCCAAGCTTGGACACATCTGGACGCCAGGTGCAGGGATGGACGATTTCAGCCAGAAGCCTGGAAATCTCGAAATCTTGGTGTGCAAGTGAGAAGCTCAGGGTCGCATGTCTTGGACTACCCAGGTGTACACTGACCATGAGCAGCAATCTCAGATCCCGGACATGGTGAGCCAGCAATATCTTTCCACAGCCCCACAGTGCGGAATCTTGAGCAGTTCGTTGTGCAAGGGGACCAAGAAGTCAGGCATCGGCAGCCGTACTAAAGTAATGAAGTACGACGTCAGAATGAGCAGGGCTAGGCAGCAAAGTTCGAACATGAGGATCTGCAACAACAACCTCGTGTACTGAAGTGCTTGAGCAAGCTCCCAAAGAAGCGACCGCCGTTCGAAACCATCGTTAGTATCCAACTGTCTCAGAACCAAGCTTCCTAAATTTTGGTTCTGCTGCATGCCCAACTCTTCGTGCTAAAATTTCAATCAGCACGGATCTGAACAGTCCCTTTGGGAGGGCATATGTGACCCGTGCCAGCTTGCCAGCACATGCAATGAAGCTCGCGCCCCAGGAACGACAGCACCACGCAGAAGCCACCAGCTTTGGGTGAAACCTATGCCGCGTGGTACGGCAAAGGGAGCACAGGAAAGCGTCATGGCGGCTCCTCAGGTGAAGGCCTGTTTCAGCCAGTGTTCTCGGTGAGCCTTTAGCTTGTCCGGGATGAAAGCAGGCAGCTCCGACGGGTGTTCGATCAGCTTCGATGGTGCTCCCCTGGAGATGAGCAGCGACAGGCTCTACTCCATGTTCGAGGAGTGCTCTTCGGAAAATGCACCCCAGCTACTCGCAGCTGGCGATGACGATTTTGCCTGTCACCAGGAATGTGGGAAGATCAAGAGCTTCTGGCTGTTTCGACAGCCCGCCAGAGTCTCAGATACCTTTTGATACTCCCCACCCCAAGGTCCCAGCAATTACCTCAGTTTGGGCTGTCCGAGTATGCGCTTTGCTGTACAGGCCAAAGCCCCTTAGGATGCGAGGCAGAAACCGACAGACCCCGCTACCCAGACCTCGCTAGCATAATCGTGCTGTCGGCCTTGTGTCGCCGCATGTCTTGGGTTTCCCGAGGATGGACGGTCCCGTGGTCAGGGTCTCGTGGAGTATTCCTCGCAGAAGGAAGCCAGGCTGGAGAGTCCAAACCTCTGCGAGGTGCCTCTTTGAGTCCTGTCTCCGTGTGCTCATCGGAGACAGGTCTGCCATCAACTACTTGAACGGATGGTCGATCGGTTCCTCCACGCTGACGGTTCAGGTTCTCTCTTGTCCGCTCATTGAATGTCTTCTTTCAAAGCAGACTCGTCTGGGCTAGGAGGATCGTGTGGGGGCGTACTCGACTTACATGGCCCAGCCGGAGCGAGCAAAGAAGGGTCATGAGTCGTCGTGGCTCATCCTTGAGGTCTGCGGAGTCGCAAGGTGTCCTGTCTGAATGAGGGTGCTGTCACAGTTTTTGGGTGCTCGACTCTGCTTGGCGTCATGGTATCCCCGCCGAGGCACCTGGGCGGACAAGGCGTGCCCGTGTTTTGATGATGTTATCCGCTTATCTGAAAGAATCGTCTCATACGTCTCACCTTGTCAGGGAGAGGACTGGTGGGATGGTCACTCAGGTTCCCTTTCCTCACATCCCCGGTACGGAATCCACGGATTGCATGCGCCAGTATTCTTCAGCGGCGCTCCCAGCCAGCTGCCGGTCGGAAGAGCTGCGAGCTCAAAGTCAAGAAGGCAGAAGCTGATCACATCAACATCAGGTGATTAGATGCTCTGTTACCATATGTATAGGTACACAGATTATATTCGGCTACACAGGATTATTCTTACATTGGGTTCGTGGACTTTGAGGATCGGTTGCGAAGGGAAGTAGGAATCGGCCTTGAGCAGAGGCATAGGCTGGGTTAGCGCAAGTTGCACAATCTTCATAGAAAGGGTCGCCTAGGATGCCCTAGGTGCTGTTCACAGGAAGGCAGAATTGTTGCCCTGGTGCCCCACTCGGAAGTTCCTTGCAGGGGCTTTCCGGCAGCATAGCTGAACCCACACACTTTAGCAAAAGGACGCCGATCCACGGCAGAGAGATCAGCCCCAAATTCGGTGCCAACTTCAACTCCAAGTGCTTTGATGCAGTCTTCTCAGAGCGGCTGCTGCGAGCTGGCGTCGTTTGCTGAGGTCCAGTCCTACTTTCGAGAGTATGGCACAGTGCTGAGACCCAACAGCACAGGCGTGCTGCTATACTTGCTGATCAGTCGACGATGACCAGCAGTATGGCTTTCAGAAACGAAGCAGGACCGCATAGAGCATGAGCTGACTGACTGCAAAAGCGGCGACTGTGCATGGTTTCAGACAATCTTGTCTGCACGAACATCTTAAGCACACGGGACAGTTCGAGTTGGTGCAAAAATGGCTTCCGGTTGTCAAATCTTGTGGAGGCCAAGTGACTAGTGTGCTCATACATGGCATCAGAAGCCTTGCCGCAGCCATGGCGGCAGCGGATGATGACGCCGTGACGGAGCAGAAGGAGCTCTGTCGGCGTAATGGCTTGTTTGTTTGCTCTTCTGTCGGACGGGTCAAGGATGAGTCACAAGAGCCGCGGAGAGGTGCACTGCACGTGTGTTCAAGTGCAGGCAAGAACATCCGGATGTGTAGCAGCGTAGCATGCACCTGCATGGACAAGCCATTTTGGCTTGAAGCATCCTGTAGTGAGCACCTTGAGCGGCAGCCAGCAGCACAGCCGGCGCCGATAGCCATGGCTTCACTCTCCTATTATGCAGGAGGTGAGTGGATGAATTTTCCCTACGGCAGCGAGCCGCGGAAACCGAAGGTCGAAGTCCTCCATGCGACCAAGGAGCTAGTAAAGTTTACCCTCAGTGATACGGACGTCAGTGTGGCGAACTCCCTTAGACGCGTGATCCTTGCCGAGGTTCCGACCATGGCCATCGAGATCGTCAACATCGAAGAAAACGACACAGTTCTCTTTGATGAGTTTATTGCGCACAGGATGGGTTTGATACCCTTATCTAGCCACGGAGTTGGAGATATTCCTCCCGACGGTGGTATGTTAGAGTTCAAGGATTGCAACTGCTTTGATGGATGTCCATACTGCACGAGGGAGTTCAGGCTCGATGTTACCAATCGTGAGGACAAGGTTCTTTCAGTAACTCATTTCGATATTCAGGAGGACACAGCGCAGACGAAAAGGTTTGAACGACCGGAGTGGCCGCACTTCAAGAAGGTGCGGTGCTGTCCTTTTCAGGACCCTACCCTAGATGAGGAAGCAGATCACAAAGAGAATGGCATTATCATTGCCAAGATGAAGAAGGATCAGAGCTTGAAGATGATTTGCACGGCCCGGAAAGGCATTCCAAAGTATCATTCCAAATGGATGCCAGTGGCAACCTGCGTCATGAACTATGAACCGATTGTAACAGTGAATCCAGAAGTTGCAGCCAAGCTGACACTAGATGAGAAGATAGACTTCGTTCAATCTTGTCCTCGGAAAGTCTTTGAGATGGTTGACATCGAGGACACTATTGAGGTGGCCAGGCATCAAGACTGCATATTTTGTGACGAGTGCACGACTAAAGCCAGACTGCTGAACAAGAAGGATCTTTGCACAGCAACGATGGACACGTCCAAATTCCACTTCACGGTTGAGGCTGTGACGTCGGATGGGCCACGCACAGCTGTGGACGTTGTCCGTGCTGCCCTGCGAATACTGGACTACAAGCTGTCCCTCTTTCTTAAGGATGCATATGGGGACGACATCCAAGATCACCTGCCCTTGGAACCAGCGGCGCGAGAGAGAACAGGCATTTAGGTTGGAAGATTGCAGACATTCCGGACTCAGGGCAAAAAGCACTGGCATAGCACATGGGGTGGCATCTCCTTGAAGATCCCCAAACTTTCGAACCTGCCCATTTAGCTCCTTGTAGTTGCAATGTCCAGGTGCAGATGGCGGCAACATTTTCCTGTTGGGAGCCAAGCTGCGCCTCACGAAGACGGCTGAACTTGTCCGAGCTCGTGTACAGGACGTGCCTGCGGATTCGATTCGAGGAGCGGGGAAGCTGGTCCAAAGCCCTCGCAGATCCACCGCTGCAGGTTCGGCTCGGGTAGCGTGCAGCGGGCCAGTATCGGATACATTGCTGTGAGGCAGAAGAGCGCGACAGTGACAACTTTGAAGGCAAAGTTTCTTGTTGTGAATCGTTGCACCCAGAACTGAAAACGGAACAGCTTGGGTGCAGGCATTGCGACGGCGAGGATTGGCACCGAACCAGGCAACACATGTTGCTTGCCGGTGCTCGATTTCGGCATACATGCTGATCGGTCCTGGAGTTGCGACAGAGTCGCTGGGTCCGTCTGGTTCCAAACGGGCTTTCAGTGGTAGTCTGCCGACATTCATCAACCCTTTGGCGGTGCTTGTTGCCGCGTTGAGCTTTCGAGTGATGTTGGGGGACGGGGCGAGTGTGTCACAAGGGATATCGCCAGCTTCGGCATCAGAAGGCTCCTGAAAATAGAGGAAGGTCAGACAAGGGTCGAAGAAGGTCAAGCCGCAAATGCACAGTGAGTCACCTACAGGCAAAACAAGAAGCATGGCCTGCAGAGTAGAATCAAGGAGCGAATCAGGACGAAAGACAAAGCTTAGAGAGGATAGCGTTCCGTCGTTCCAAGCTCTGGCTCTTGGAGGCGGTTCCCCCTTGAGCGCTGGGACGCCGGGACGCTCCCGAAAGGACACTGCAGAGACTTTGCAGAGCGCGGAGAGATGCGGAGAGTGGATGTCCGGCAGAGGACAAGTCGCCGCCGACCTTTCGACGTGGGCTGACTGTCCCTTTGAGGCCCCCGGACGGATGTCGCCCTGTCGGCTCCAGCAAAGCAGCTAAAACGTCGGGGCAGGTCCGCCGAGGAGGATTCTTCCAGCAGCAACAGCAGTCCGAGTCCACGCAAGCTGAGAAGCAAGCTGTGCCACTTGGCCTTTGGCCTAAGGCTCAGATCCGTCCTTGAAATTTCGGCGTTACACTCTGTCCCAAGACATCAGCAGGTTACGCGAGTGAAGCCGTGCTTCTGCAGCAAAGCCACGTGATTTCCAGCGGCTTCTGGGGAAGAGCTCTTGGTGGTGCGATCCTCAGAAGTCTATCATGGATGACGCCACCACTTGTCAAGGAGTTGAAGCAGGGAATCTGTTCGCGTCTCCTCCCGGACGCTTCAGAATCAGAAGGTTTGCATTGAGGAGAGACTGGTGGGGTGAGCAATCGCAGAATCAGAGTGCAAGCCCATATTCCCCAGACTATGCTGCCGGAAGCTTGGAATGTGAGCGTCAGCGAGCAAGCAGTTTGACTTGCCAGTTCATCGTGTGTCGTTCAGCACATACCTCACTTGTTGCGCTCTTTGAGGCAACGACGTTGCTGGTAAGCACCCTCACGCACCTTCGGACTCTCCATGCGGAGGCGGACCGAGGACAAGATGTTGCAAGTTATAACTGTGTAGTGTTTTGTCGATGAGGCGTGGCAGTGACTGCGAAGCCTCTCAGGCTCTCTTGCAATGTGGCACGGCGCGCTGTGTGCATTATGCGGCTATGGCGAGGCCGTTGAGGGGTCAGGCCAGCCGACCATCCCGTGGACTGCCGTCGGCACGGGCTGCATATTACTTCGAGCTTGAGGCCTGGAGACAGAAGGGAAGGAACGTGACCGAGCCATGAATTGGCAGGTGCTGGAGACAGATCCGGAGACCACTAGCACTCTGTCGCCCGAACCTGACTTTCCTCCAACTTTCGGCTGGCACAGCTCGGAAGTTGTGAAGGGCATTCAGAGAACAACACAATACACTGCCTCAAGGCTGGGGTTCTGCTTCTTTGCAGGGAAGAAGATGCAGGCGCAGAGAGCAAATTACAGAGAGGGATGCATGGGGGGGCCGCATGCCCCGCGGCACAGAGAATGCCGAATTCGCTGGCACAAGTTCCCCTGTCAGCTGCCTTCTTGGACATGGTCCTGTGTTCCGAGCAAATTTGAGCAGCATCTCTCTGACTTCTTCGTGCGGATAGAAGAGTAGGGTGAAAGCTGAGCTTTCGCCGGCGGGAGTTGTGCTCATGGCGTGCGAGTGCTGCAGATGCCAGTCATCTTCATCTGACGGTGGTTGTGTGCGGGCGAGGATGATCAAAGCTTGATGTGGGAATCTCTCTGAACATGAGGTGAGGACACAAGCAAGAGTAGGGTAAAAGCTGAGCTGGCAACTGGTATGTTCGTCCTTGCATCCAAACTTGCCACATGCTGAGGCGTCTGTTACCTGCAGCGGCCATGCAAGCAGTTGATTGTCCGCCATGTTGATCTGCTCAGCGCGTTGTGGGAATCATTGGGAATCCCTCTGCTTTTCCTGGGCTTTTGATTGCCGGCTGGAGTTGTGCTCATGGCGTGCGAGGCATCATCTTCATCTGACGGTGGTTGTGTGCGGGCGAGGATGATCAAAGCTTGATGTGGGAATCTCTCTGAACCTGAGGTGAGGACACAAGAGTAGGGTAAAAGCTGAGCTGGCAACTGGCATGTTCGTCCTTGCATCCAAACTTGCACATGCTGAGGCGTCCGTTACCTGCAGCGGCCATGCAAGCAGTTGATTGTCCACAGCAATGTCCTGTGCGAGGTGCCACGTTGGATCTGCTCAGCATGTTTTGGGAATCATTGGGAATCCCTCTGATTTTCAGAGGCTTTCCTTTTGCCGGCGGGAGTTGCTCATGGCGTGCGAGTGCTGCAGATGCCAGTCATCTTCATCTGACGGTGGTTGTGTGCGGGCGAGGATGATCAAAGCTTGATGTGGGAATCTCTCTGAACCTGAGGTGAGGACACAAGAGTAGGGTAAAAGCTGAGCTGGCAACTGGTATGTTCGTCCTTGCATGCAAACTTGCACATGCTGGGGCATTTGTTGTCTGCAGCGGCCATGCTCAATGCAAGCTTGAAGCCAGGAAGTTGCTGAAGCTGGACCTGCTCCCGCATTGAGAGCAAGGATGAAAAGTATTTTTTGGGAATCTCTCTGAATTCCCCGTGTGGATGCATACGTAGGGTAAAAGCTGAGTCCTCGTCTGCGAATGTTGCAGACGCTTACAACTTCCCTTGCCAGCTGGTTGGACCTGCTCCTGCATTGCGAGCTAAGATGAGCAGCATTTTTTGGGAATCTCTCTGATTTCTTCGTGCGGATAGACGAGTAGGGTAAAAGCTGAGCTTTCGCCTGCGGGAGTTGTGCTCATGGCGTGCGAGTGCTGCAGACGCCAGTCATCTTGCTCTGACGGTGGTTGTGTGCGGGCGAGGATGATCAAAGCTTGATGTGGGAATCTCTCTGAACCTGAGGTGAGGACACAAGAGTAGGGTAAAAGCTGAGCTGGCAACTGGTATGTTCGTGCTTGCATGCAAACTTGCACATGCTGGGGCATTTGTTGTCTGCAGCGGCCATGCTCAATGCAAGCTTGAAGCCAGGAAGTTGCTGAAGCTGGACCTGCTCCCGCATTGAGAGCAAGGATGAAAAGTATTTTGTGGGAATCTCTCTGAATTCCCCGTGCGGATGCATACGTAGGGTAAAAGCTGAGTCCTCGTCTGCGAATGTTGCAGACGCTTACAACTTCCCTTGCCAGCTGGTAGGACCTGCTCCTGCATTGCGAGCTAAGATGAGCAGCATTTTTTGGGAATCTTTCTGATTTCTTCGTGCGGATAGAAGAGTAGGGTAAAAGCTGAGCTTTCGCCTGCGGGAGTTGTGCTCATGGCGTGCGAGTGCTGCAGACGCCAGTCATCTTGCTCTGACGGTGGTTGTGTGCGGGCGAGGATGATCAAAGCTTGATGTGGGAATCTCTCTGAACCTGAGGTGAGGACACAAGAGTAGGGTAAAAGCTGAGCTGGCAACTGGCATGTTCGTCCTTGCATGCAAACTTGCACATGCTGGGGCATGTGTTGTCTGCAGCGGCCATGCTCAATGCAAGCTTGAAGCCAGGAAGTTGCTGAAGCTGGACCTGCTCCCGCATTGAGAGCAAGGATGAAAAGTATTTGTTGGGAATCTCTCTGAATTCCCCGTGCGGATGCATTCGTAGGGTAAAAGCTGAGTCCTCGTCTGCGAATGTTGCAGACGCTTACAACTTCCCTTGCCAGCTGGTTGGACCTGCTCCTGCATTGCGAGCTAAGATGAGCAGCATTTTTTGGGAATCTCTCTGATTTCTTTGTGCGGATAGAAGAGTAGGGTAAAAGCTGAGCTTTCGCCGGCGTGAGTTGTGCTCGTGGCTGGCGAGTGCTGCAGACGCCAGACATCTTCATCTGACGGTGGTTGTGTGCGGGCGAGGATGATCAAAGCTTGATGTGGGAATCTCTCTGAACCTGAGGTGAGGACACAAGAGTAGGGTAAAAGCTGAGCTGGCAACTGGCATGTTCGTCCTTGCATGCAAACTTGCACATGCTGGGGCATTTGTTGTCTGCAGCGGCCATGCTCAATGCAAGCTTGAAGCCAGGAAGTTGCTGAAGCTGGACCTGCTCCCGCATTGAGAGCAAGGATGAAAAGTATTTTGTGGGAATCTCTCTGAATTCCCCGTGCGGAGGCATTCGTAGGGTAAAAGCTGAGTCCTCGTCTGCGAATGTTGCAGACGCCAACAGCTTCCCTTGCCAGCTGGTTGAACCTGCTCCTGCATTGCGAGCTAAGAGGAGCAGCATTTTTTGGGAATCTCTCTGATTTCTTTGTGCGGATAGAAGAGTAGGGTAAAAGCTGAGCTTTCGCCGGCGTGAGTTGTGCTCGTGGCTGGCGAGTGCTGCAGACGCCAGACATCTTCATCTGACGGTGGTTGTGTGCGGGCGAGGATGATTAAGGCTTGATGTGGGAATCTCTCTGAACCTGAGGTGAGGACACAAGAGTAGGGTAAAAGCTGAGCTGGCAACTGGTATGTTCGTCCTTGCATGCAAACTTGCACATGCTGGGGCATGTGTTGTCTGCAGTGGCCATGCTCAATGCAAGCTTGAAGCCAGAAACTTGCACAAGCAATTGACGTCCGCAGCAACTTCCCTTGCCAGCTGCCACGTTGGACCTACTCCCGCATTCTGTGCAAGGATCAGCACTTCGTCGGAATCTCTCTGATGTTCGTGTGCTGATGCAAGAGTAAGGTAAAAGGTCAGCTTTTGCTTTGCGGCTTGGGAGCAGTGCATTGTTTTTTTGACGATGGTCATTTCAGCACTTTTCAGCATCTGTCGCGATTGATGCCTCATCTGTTCTGCTGTTGCTTCTGTTGTAGGCTTTTGCAGACGTCTCGCTGGATGGCTGTGCTGCGCTGCATGTACAGTATGTAAAGCTTGGGAAGACCTTATTCGGAAGAACGGAAGGCTGCCTGGGGCTGGTTAATTGTGGGCTCCAGTGGAGGCAAGAAGCAGACTCGGGTAGCTTTGAACTTGGGGTAGGCCTGGGTACTTATGCCGCAAGGATTGTCAATGCCGCGAGTACTGCTGCTCCTCCTCGCTACAGCTACCGCTTCCTCCACCGCCACCTCTTACTGCTGCTACTACTACGACGACGACAACAACTTCTACCACCACTGCTGCTATTATTATTTTAACTTATTGCTACGCCTACTGCTCCTACTATTCCTAGTGCTCCTACTTCCCCAGCTCCTACTCCTGGCCTTCCTGCTACTCCTACTCCTACTACTCCTACTACTCCTACTACTCCTACTACTCCTACTACTCCTACTACTCCTACTACTCCTACTACTCCCACTACTCCTACTACTCCTACTGCTCCTACTACTCCTACTACTCCTACTACTCCTACTACTCCCACTACTCCTACTACTCCTACTGCTCCTACTGCTCCTACTACTACTACTCCTACTACTGCCGCTGCTACTGCCGTCGCTACCTTTACCGCGCTATCGCTACCGTTGCAGCTGCTGCTACTGTTCCTGCTCCTGCTGCTACTGTTACAGCTCCTGCTCCTCCCGCTGTTCGAGCGGAAGCTCCAACCGTCGCGAAGCTTTTTGGCAGGGGCACCTCCACGGCTACCAGTTTCCTGTATGCAAAGGAAATCAGCCTTTTGGAGGGCGAGACAACCAGCTGTAGAACAGGAGGCTCTTGACACAAAGGGCACTGGCACACATCCAGCATGATGACAGAGAACATCTCACCCAAAATCAACGGTCGTGGCTGCAGCCGAAGGGAGCTGGATCTTCAGACTGTGTATCTTGTTGAACCTTGGCGCCAGGAGCCGCTTCCTCCATCCGCCACCGAGTTGTGCGGTCCATAGTCAACATGGAGCCCGAAAACACAGATCCAGAAGCCTCTTTGCCACTTCAACCTCGGTTCCTGTTGCATTTCGAGGCCGGGTGCCTTCGTGCTTGGAGGCATGCGCTGTTCGATCGGTGGTGACTTGCCTCTTGCGTGTTCCAACGACTGTCTAAGACGTATCATGTTCCCGCTCTTTCTTTGTTTCTCTCTCTGTCTATCGTGGGCTCGGCATGGAACAAGAGAAGCTTCGGGGCAGCTCACGCTGTCTGCAGGAATGGTCACTGTTCGGCTGCTTTCACTGCAAAGTGTCTTGGGCAGGAGAATTGCCAAAGGCCCACTTCGGTGGCACGGAGATTGGAAGGCATGGGGTGCTGAGACTCTGAGCTCTTCTGCGATCCTTGGCCGGCCTTGGCCTGTCAGCTCGCTGGAATGGCGGCCACTGATCCATGTGCACGCGGGAAGTCGGATCGGCGCACTACTCGAGGCCAGCAGCGTGTAGAGATGTGTGTAGGGTGTATAGAGGCTTGTCAAGGTTGCAACTTGCGATGCGGCCAGGTGAGGGACTTCGTGAGTGCCACGGCCCCAAAACTTGACAGACAATGACAGACAGGAATACAGAGACCAGCTCCTGCACTAGTGCAATCGAAATCAGATCAGGGCTTGCGCGAGCTGCCGGTCTTGCGGGCATCCATATTCCAGGACGGCACACTGAGGACTGAGGCAGTCATCGGGAATTGAACATGTGCCGACTTGACATGATACCAAATACCGCTTAATTACCTGGTACTGCCTTGCGGCAGTTGACATGAAGTGCTGCAGGGGCCAAAGATTCTTGTTTTTGTGTGGCGCCTGAGTCGTTATCCTTTCCTGGAAGGCCTCCATTTGCCCATCCGGCCTGTCATCCCTGACACAGGCGTGGTGTGCCATGTCTGCCTTCTGCATGTGTCTGTTGAAGAAAACGATTGTGGAAGGAAGAGCAGAACTGCGTCCTATCCGCATCTGCAGGGCAAAGGCCACATGGCCTGACGGAGGACTTGACCTCAGGTCGTCTCTACCGTGGTTATCTGTGGCTTTGTGGCTCGCGGCAGGTCCGTGGCAACGTGCGGAGCCTCCGTCTTTGTACAGACGTCGGGCTCCTGGACTCGGAGTGCGGATCGAAGCCTCACCTGTGGAGTGCGGAGGTCAGTGAACCGCCCTTGCTTCGCTGAAGCTTGGAATTGTGCGGTTTGATCTATATCCTTCTCTTGGAGGTGCAAGTGTAAGAGAAGGCTACTTCGAAGAAGTAGTCTTTCCTAGCTTCTCGACCGTAAGCTGGGCATTGCCACGAGGCGCGTGCTCCGTTTTTCAAGCCTTCAGAGCTTCGAACCAGAGGCTGTAAGGCCTTGTGTCTAGAAATTAAGCCGGGCTGCCACTACGTGCAGCTTGACTGCATCGTGCGGACTACAGCCGCAGGAGAAAGATGCCGCTTCTTCTGGGCCCTTCATTGGGCATGTGACATATTGGATGCAGCCGAGGTGCCGTTGAGAGCTTTCACATGTTCCGACATCCGAGTGGCAAGCCAAAGGGCATTGGGGTCCAGGGCTGATCCGTAGTGCTGTGCGAATTGAATGAAATGGAGCGGGACGAAGGGGCAAAGTGACAAGCCGAGGTAGTCACATTCAAGGATGCACACGCAGCAACTGAGGCTGTGGCTTATGTGACCGTTCTCCTATCTTCATTTAATCAAATTGCTGCCTGAGGTGCTTAGTCATGGGATTGAAATCGAAGGATGGCCCCTGTACTTGAGAGAGGCAGGTAATGTGCCCAAAAGTCTTAACAATATCTGAAATAGAAGCAGGCAGAGGATCGGGGTGAGCGGGCACGGAGCTCGGACCCATTGGTCATCCATCGAGCCGGCATCTGCCAGCCAAAACTCAGGGTGGAGCGGTGTTTTCGGAAAGAGATCAGTGGGCTTCGTGCCCTGACCTTTGTAGGCCGTGCATGGTGCTAGGACAAGACAGTTGTGATACGTGTGGGACGAGATCTCCACTTCCCAGGTACCACACGGAATGGGAGTCTGGCAGTGAAGTTGATCCTGGAAAGGTGCGCGTGCGAACTCTGGGACCATGTTTTTGTTTTGAGCTTTCTCGTCCCAAATCTGACAGCATCGTGCCTCGAGTGACCATCGGGATGTCGCGATGCCGATGCCGACTGGTGGCTCGAAGCCATTGGTATGATGATAATGTGCAAACCAACAACGAGCGAGCAGCAGAACAGTATCAGTGGCATAGCAAGCCTCGCTCCGAGCACTACGCGGCCTGCGGCGGCACTTGGGCACGCCGAGCATGAGTTGCGGGCTCAGTTGCAGCATGTAGAGCCGGCTCTCTCCGTTCGATGCAAAGCGAAGCGGATTACTGATTACAGAGGTGACCTGCAGGCTGGGCGTGTTGTGGCCGCAGAGTGCTCCGAAGCCCAAGCCTCAGAAGTGCAGTGATGGCGAAGGTTCCGGCCAGGGCAGGGCTTTTCCCAGAGGGATGTTTCTTCTTGTCGTGCGGTCATTGGCTTCGTGCAGCACCGGTGTACTCGTTGCTCTGACCCGCACGTGCACCTGGTTGTGCTGGATGTGGCCAGGAACTGGCTTCCAAGAGGAGACGGCCCCCCAAAAATCCCTAAATCCCTCCGCCATGCGAGGCCTAAAAGGAGCCTGTTGGTGATAGTACTGGTATTGCGGTATTGCATTGCCTTTCTCCGCACGGTTTTGGAGCCTCACATCCTCTACGCACGTGAAGACTTTCAACTGTTATGGAGATCGGGATGCCAAGTTGAGATTGGCGTCTTTCCAGATGTTTTGCAGATCTGCGATTTCTGGCCCAGGCAGCGTTGAACAGTGCTTCTGCTGAGCACCAGAAATACTCCGGAGGCGTCGCTACATGTTTTGCATCGAGCGCAGAATGCTACAAAAAGAAGCTCACTCAGGTGGCGGCAGTGCGGACAAATTCTCTTCGCCCTTCGCCTTCTCCCAGGCAGCCAGGCCCACAGCGAGCCCAAACGCAGATTTTGACAGACTGAAACGATGGTTTACGAGTCTTAAAATGTCCTCAACATAACAGTTTAACACCAAGGATTGGCTGCACTCACTGACTCAGACAGTCATGATTGCCTTACTGTTGCTGCGGTTGGTGCTGCTTCTACTTGTTCCATGCGTCAAGCTTCCAGCTAGTACTCGGGTCCCTTGACAAGAACGGCAGGGTGCAGAAGCCCCACCTCGAAATGCGTGGCATCTGTGAACTTTTTTGCAACTGCTGAAGTCTCAATTCGAGTATTGCCCTTCTTTCCCAGTGCTAGACCAGTAGATGTTGCACCAGATAACTTTTGGAAGTGAAGTCTTGTCTAAGCCCGTTCTATTCGAGACCAGTTGCATCGGCAGTGGCTTGCTAAGGGCGAAGAGCTGCATCATCAAGCTGCCTCGCCGGGACCTGTGCCATCGTGCTCTGCCTAAACCCCCTGGTGCTGTCCTGGCTCACAGCCTTCAGAACGCGGCTTCCAGGTACACGGCTCAGGCCCATGAAGCTCAAATGCCGGGCGTTGGCCAGCAGGCTCCGTCTTGGGTCCGAACCGGTTTTCTAATCTAAGTAAGGAGTTCTCAATTCGGCCATGGAGGTAGTCCAAGTCTCCTGGTCGTCTTGGGGGAACCAAGCTGGACCTGGCCCGGGCCAGATGGCCCCGATGATGGCTCCGATGGGAGCCTCGTCGATGATGGCTCCGCCAATGATGGCTTCAGCTCCGATGTACGCCATGCTGCATCCTTACCTTGTGCTTCACACGTTCAGCCGCTACGGTCTCCGCTGACTGCAAGGCCCACGTCAGCCACAGCCTGTCAGCCACCAGGTGCTCCAAAACGATCATCTGTGGGCCTACCGTAATCGAAAGTTTCATGTTACCTGTCCAGGCTGCATGCCCGGACAGGCGACACTCGTAGCAGCTCAGCTCAGAAGAGTGTTTCGGGGTTCTTCCACTTCTGGTGTTTGTTCTTGCCCCATTTCCAAGAACTGCAGATTGTGGCTTCCTGTGGTGATCAGATTTGCAGTGTAAAACTTAAGCTTGCGCTTGTTGCAGTGACAATCGTTCACGTGGATGGTGGGTTGTACATGTAAAGGTGTCCCTTCGTGGCCATTTTGGCTCAAGGGCGACACCCTGCTTTTGCGGTGAGCCCAGGAAACAGGTGGGGTGCTACATGGACCGGGCGGTCGTTCCCTGGACTGACTTGCGTGGTTTCGCCCCAGGCGACCCGCTTGTCGTGTTCGGGGGGGACAACCTGGTGCCGTGGGCTCTCCTTAGTCTGTGCACGTGTGTCTGGGTCTTTGGCTTCTGTTGCGGTTGCCTGGTGACTCGACCGAGCCATCAGGCCCCGACAGGCCAGGCTCCTCCGACACACCCCCGCACTCCGGTGGGCCGCTGGGAATCCATTGCAAGGCGGGCACTGAACTTTGTCCGGAGCCGCCGACGGCTCTTCCTGGCCTTCGCCCACCTCGGGACCTTCTCCCTTCACAACTCCGAGACCGCCAAGCCGAACCTGAGTCGGCGGGCTGTTTGAAGGGCCTCGACACCAGGGCCCATCTTGCACGAGCAACATGGACCCGACGGAGACCGAGCTCCAGGCGATAACCGACTTGGGAGGAGTGTTCGCATGGGCAGGGGTGAGCGGGGGCTTGGAACGGGCACTCCGAGCCGCTCGGCGACCCAGCTCGCGTGAGGGAGGTAGCCCTCGTGCCTAGGCCGGCTTGGGATGCCATGGCCCAGGCCCTACAAGTAGCGGGTTTGGGCCCCAGCGCTTCGGATGGCACACCTGGTGCGCCCCAGGATAGAATCCACTCGCCGGGTGGCCCTTATCTTGATGGGCATCGCCCCCGATTCTCCTGGCACTTCGGGCCCTCCTGCGGCCTCTCCGGCTCCCGGTCCAGGGCCGCCACCTGCTGCAACGCCCACCGGGGCCAGACGTCTTAAGCTGTCCTCCGTCCTGGAGTCCACGCTTGACGCGGAAGTGGCGCCACTGGGCAATGCCGAGGTCCAGAAGATCTACCAGGACTACAAGGCGAAGTTCGGGGACTACCCAAGCCCTGACTCAGATCCCTCGGCGGATCAGCTGGCCTCGCTTCGTCAAGTCGTGACGGCAGGCTCGGCGCCCTACGCCGACTTCTCCCTCTTCGGGCCACATGGGTTGAGGCTTTTGAGGAAACAGACCTTCACCTCTTTTTCCTCAACGTGGCAACCGGGGAGTGGAGCAAGAAAGAGCAGCCGGGACCCGCCTCCTACCACTCGTGGATGGAGGCTTGGAAAGTCCTTCGGACGGCTCTCCTCCTCTTGGAGATTGCCGACGCGGAGGGGCTGGACGCTTACGCGGAGCATATCCGGGGGTTCGCGACGCAGTTTGGGGATTCCGCCTGGTGGTTGGTCTACAAGGCGGAAAATCGCCTGCGGTGCGAACACATGGAGCGCCTCCGCCGGCTTCTCCACGATAAGCCCGACCACGGACATACGCCGGCGCGGTCGTGGAATGCTGCCTTCGCGGCGGCCATAAGCAGGACCTTTTGGGGATAACTCGTGACGAGATCCCCCTGGACAGCAGCTTTTGGAAGGTCTGCTGAAACCTCGCGGGACCATCCGCTGCAAAATAGCTGGGGGCGTTTGCGTTCGGTTGCGTGTGTGCACTCCTTCTCGCTCTCCCCCTCTCTCGCTCTTTCTGCGTGACGTTGTGCCACTGAAGGCCTTCTTGGACTTCGACTGCCGCAGATGCCCAAGCCCAAGAGGTCGTTCAGAGCAGCATTCTGGCCTATAAGTAACCCCCCCGTTGGTCACCCTAAACCACGGCGTTCTTCGGTTTTACACGAGAGTCCTGCGTTACCGCGGCCTGACGTGATCGAGGTTGCTGAGGGTCAGGGGGACCGGGAGAACAGGCCAGGAAGCAGTAGCAATAGGCATGGAACCGGCGAACCCAAGCCGTACGGAAGGGGCTCCGCGGCCAAGGCCCTGGATGCCCTGAGCGACCCCAGCGGATGTAGAGCCGCTCTTCTGGCTGACTCTAGGGCTTCGACCTCTATCGGCCCAGCTGAGTCCCGACTTCGCACCTGGGAAACCATGTCCATCAAAGCAAACCTAGACCCTTTCTGTCTGACGCCAGATGGCATGTACACCATAATGGGCGGATTCAAGCAAGCGGGCTATAGATCCG